TTGCGATCAGTGCCTTCAGTGGCGAACTCCTCCACGATGCCCTCGGGGCTGATGCCATGCTCAGCACACAGCTGTTTCCAGAACTCGAACCCAACTGGGGGAGGGGAAAGGAAGCCCAAGTCTGCTGGAGCCTTAAGGCCGGAAAAGCCCAGGCTCAGAGGCTATTACATTCAGGAAGGTGACCCAAGACGCCTGGAAGTTGTCACAGCCCAGGACTGAGGAGGCAGCTCTTGACTGGATCATCGGGCGCAACAAGGTAAGAAAGGTGGTTGTGGGAAGGACAAAAGGGATTGATGGGTACCAGGCACTTGAATGCGGGCCAAGGGATAGAACCAGAGACTAGCGGGGCTCGGCGGTCGCTTGCTCACTCTGGTTGCCGCACTGGCCCAGCTGCAGGGTGATGATCTCCCGGGGCATCGCCGGTCAGACGGGAGCTCGTCCGCCCCAGGCCGGCGGGAGTTACGGCCCAGCCTAGGAACGCCTGGCAGCCGGGCACGCAGGACATGGGCAGCGCGCTGTTTGCCGGTGTTTTGACGCGGACGCCGGGTCTGCGCGTGTGCAGTGTGGGCCTCTCCGCAGCCGGCGGGCGGCAGAGCTCATCCTGGGCATCATTTTCTCTCTTCACAGGCACAGCTGGAATTCAGCACAGGCGCAGAGTGAGGCCACGCCCCTCATGTCAGGATGTGCGCGTGCGCAGCAAGACCTTTAGAAAGCCGAGGATATCCACTGGGATGTGGGGGAGGGGAGGAAGGAGCGGCCGGGTGGGTGCACCAAGTGCGGGAGTCACCAGCCTACACCCGCCGGATGTGCTAGATTATGGGGCTAGATTTAAACCAACATTTTCTTAATGGTTGGGGAATTGAACCCATGTTCCTGTGCATACTAAGCACCTGCTATACCACTTAGCTACGCAGCCATCCCGAGACATAGTTCTTTTTTTTTTTCAATTTTATTTTCTTATTTTCACACTACACAAAATACAAAATACAAAATTTACCATCTGGGGCCAGGTGTGGTTGCTCCTGTCTTATAATCCTAGCAAGCACGTGCGAAGCAAAGGCAGGTGGATATCTGAGTTCTAGGCCAGCCTGTTTGTTTAAGTGAGTTTCAGGCCAGCTGAGGCTACATAGTGAGACCCTGTCTAATAAAATAAGATAAATTACCTTCTCAGACTGGCCAGGTGTCCTAAAAGCCCCTTAGTGCCAATCCTAATCCGGGTACCCTCATGGTAGAAGGAGGGAATCAAGAAGCTACTCCTGAATTGTCCTTTGACCTCTCTGTATGCATGCTCTTAGAGTCTACGAACAGACACTAAGTAAAATGATTAGACAGACAGACAAATGTGTTAAAAAGTCGGTACATGTGGTGGCACACACCTCTCATCCCTGCACTCAGCAGAGAGAGTCAAGCCTGTCTAGTCTACAGAGTGAGAGCTAGGACAGCCCGAGCTATAGTGTATCAAAAATGAATAAATACCCAGGCAGCACAACTTTAATCCCAGCATTTTGGGAGGCAGAAGCAAGCGGATCCCTGTGAGTGTGAGGCCAGCCTGGTCTACAGACTGAGTTGCAGGACAGCCAAAGCTTCTACACAGAGGAATCCTTTCTCCAAAAACCAGGGGGAAAAATATTCAAATTTTCCCATTTTAACCTTTAACCTGTTCCTATTTTAACCTTTTTTGAAAGTGTACTGTCCTGTGGAATGAAGGTCTATAGTGTTTTTAATGATCACGACCTCATTCAGAACTTTTTGTTTTGATTTTTTGGGGGGGGAAGTGGAGGAACAAGGTTTCACGTGGCCCAGGCTGGTCTCAGCCTCACTCTGTAGCCCATAATAACCTTGAACTCTTGATCCTCCTCGTGCTGGTGTTTCTCTAGTCCTTGCATGGCAGGCCTGTGCCGCCCAGTCAGAACTTTTCCATCTTCCCAGACTGGAACTCTGTACCCCTGGATGGTCCGCGCCTGTGACAGTGTCTATTTTCTCTGTATTAGGACTTTGCCTCTGTGGACCTAAGTGGTGGCCTGCAGCATTTTCCCTTTTGTTTCTGTCCATTTATTTCAGGTAGCACAATTCTTTAGGATTCCTCCATTTGAACCCATGTCAGGATGGCTTTCCCTTGTAAATTTGAATAATAAACTGGGTAGTGGTGGTGCAGGCCTTTAATCCCAGCAAGCAAGAGGAAGAAGCAGGCAGATCTCTAAGTTCAAGGGCAGCCTGGTGTATGGAGTGAGTTCTAGGATAGCCAAGCTACACAGAGAGAAACCTTGTCTCTGAAAACAAAAACAAACAAAATGATTGAATAATACTTTTTATTATATATATATATATATATATATATATATGTCTTACTTGTTGTTGATCCATTCTTCTCTCAATGGCTTCCTTCTCCCTCTCCCTTTTCTTCTTGCGACATTGCGGACAGGCTCTAGGACTTTGTTCTCACATGAGGCTAGTGCCTTTCCCTCAGACTAAAATCACAGCTCTCCTTTTGCTTAAAACAAAAACCATTGCAATTGGGGAGATGGCTCAGGAGTTGGGGGTTTTGGTTTGATTCCCAGCACCTGTGTGATTGTGATAAACTTTTCCTGGGGAGACACAACACACACATCTACTCACCCCAGACAGGGAGCCTAGAGCAAACAGACCATAGTACAGATAGCACCAAAGGCCAAGTTGGTGAAGCAAGGAGTTTTATTGGGGTTACTGACAGGAATAGGGGTGAGGGGTGACTTACAGGAGCAGAAATGATTCAATGACAGCCGCATCACCAAAGCCCACAGCAGCATGACTGGAAGCTGACACCGCGCAGGTAGCTCATCAGGTTGGAAAGCTTCCTTTCCCGCTGCCTCAGGGGGTCTGAGCCTCTTCCTGGAAGCTTGCCTGGCTTCTGCTTCTTCCAGGGAGCCTGTCCAGTCTGACAATCCTTTTCTGTAGCTCATCTTCTCTTTGTCTAAGAGGGACTCTCGGCTTTTATTGCTTACTCTGGCAGGGAGGGACCTAATGATTCTGGTCAGTTTCAGGGACTTCCTGAAGTTATTTTGAGTGTTTTACCTCCCGCTTAAGGAGCTTCCCTGCATCATGGAATGTTCCAGATTTGTTGGAAACTGTTGCACAGCACTGAGTGGTGGCTCAGCACTGTCTGTAACTCCAGCTCCAGAGGATCTCATGCCCCCTTCTGGTCCCTGCCTGCACTGCACACATGTGGTACACAGACCCTGCAACCCAAACACCAATACACATAGAAGACAATACATCTTTAGAGCCAGAATTTTAATTTTTCTTGTTCCTTTGTTTGCGAGAGGGTTTCTCTGTGTAGCTCTGGCTGGCTGTCATGGAACTCGCTCCATAGACCAGGTTGGCCTCTGACCTTTATATGCACATACTGTAAACACAGTAATAATAAAATGTTTTTTTTAATTTAGAAATAATTTTGTTCTCCCCTCCCACCCTCAGAGCAAGGGGGGACGACCCCAGGTTCTGTTTGCCATTCTCATGCCCATACAGATCCTACCTTGCTTTGCTTCATGTGTTGTACGGCCTGTTGGTCCCACAGCCCCACATTTATTCTAGCTTTGTCCAGCTATGCTGGGATCATTCAGATCGCTTCCTGTAGATCATCTGGAATTTATCTGGAGGCCTGCTGTGAGATAGGGGTCTATTTTATGTTTTCCATATGGATGTCCAGTTGTCTCTGAACCAATTGTTGAGGGGTTGGCGCAGGCTCTTACAGCCCCTGGAACACACCAAGCTGCCAAGTACTCACTTGTCGACTGCTCCCTGCAGGCAGATGGAACTGTTGGACACCAACTGCAGGCTTCTGACTTCCTTTGGGTCTGACTGTCCGGGTCTGGCTGCCTCTTTCTAGGAGGGAGACACTGAAAATTGTTAGGCAAAGTATCTCTACCACGTCACGATCAGACAAGGGCTTTGCTTTTCTTTCCTTTCCGCCTAGAATCTTTTGGAGTTTGGTAAAAACCCTATAAACCACTGCACAGCCCTGCCAGCCTACCCTGGCTGCCTCCCTTACCCGTGCTAGGCATCTTTCTCTTACAGGTTAGTTAGCAAGCAACCCCAAGAGGAAGTGACAGGGAGGGCCTGGCTACTGTCCTTGAAGTTTGAGGATAGGGTGGGAGAGCCCAGGTTTGTACCTGCAAGGTGAGTGATCTTCAGAGGCCTGGCCTTCTGGGAGTCTACCCAGGAGCCTTGACAAATGGGAGTGAACTCGCCTCCCCAGCCTGTGTGCCCCGTGGGGCTCAGTTTACTGCCTTTCAAATAAGTTGATGAACTCTTGGGAATAGGAGAATAAAATTTCACCCTTTCTTGGATTAATAACAGTGCCGCCTTCTACTCTGCCAGAAGTGGGGAGACTTTCTTCAAATCCAGGTTTTTAGGTAAGCAGGTGAGAACATGCAGATTATACTCTGACTTGGCAGAGGTGCCTTTCCACCTAGTCGTGTGGACATGAGTGGAGAACTGAGAAGCCTCTGTATTGGCAGAACTGAGGGCAAACTCTCCCAGCCATGGCTTAAATGAGGTGGAGAATGGGCACTTAGCGCATGCCCGGTGCACAGCAAACCTCTGAACACTGGCTGTTACTGTCACCCTGGATGTAACAGGCAATGAAGCACAGCTTCAGAGGAACTGCTACAGATAAACAATCTTATTCAGGGAACAAAGAAAATGGATAGTTAAGTAGCTAAAAACAAAACACCCAAACTCAGATAGCTATGAATGTACAGATGGGGTTTCAGATTTGAATTCTACTGATAAGCAGAAAGCTTAGGTAGATAGTTGGTCTCACCTCCAGGCAGGATCTCAAGGTTGTTTGTCTGTGGCTGGTGCTGAGTGTCCTTGACTCAAGGTTTTCTGATCCTGGTTATATAATTCATAGGATGTAGTGCCTTTGTCTGAGGCCTCAGCCTATATTTCATTATACCTGTAGCCACTGTAAACTAGCAAGTGTGTTAAACACGCAGGCCTTTTGTTGTGGACATCCTAGTCCTGATGAAACCTGGGTCTGGGGGCCCCTTCATCTCATTTCCTCTTTCTTCCTTTTCTCTTATTGAGGTCAGGGTCTCACTGTGTAGCCCTGACTGCCTGGGAATTCACTATGTAGACCAGGTTGGTCTCAAACTTGCAGAGATCAACCAGCCACCACGCCTACCTGCACCTTTATTTCTGCCTTGTCCGAAGTTACTGCATTAGCAACTTGGTGTCTTGTGGAGGGAGAGAGAGGCTGAGGTGTAAGGTAGGGTATGAGACTGTTTTTTGGGGCCTGGAAGGAAGAGCAGTGTGCTAATTCTGCAGGAAGCTACATAAAGCTGCTCCCGGACTCCGGGTCAGGAATCTGTGACCTCGGGGAATTTAGCTTCCAAAGTTAAGGCATACTGTGTTGTTGGAATATTATTTTAACTAGGCTAAGGTGTGCTAATTTGTTTATATTTTTAGCGGTGTAAGGATGTGTTACATTTGTCTGTGCTGTTTCTCTTTAATTACATGAGGATGTGTGACATTTGTTTCATCTTACTGCCTAAGGCACTCAATTGGTCCAATAAAAAGCTGAATGACCAACAGCTCAGCAGAGGAGGCAGAAACAGGCAAGCAGAGGGAATAAATAGGAGGAGAAATCTAGGTTCCAGAGGAAGGAGAAAGGAACGAGGAGAAAGGGAGACATGCCCCGGGCAAGAACCCAAGCAGCAGCCAGCAGACACAGGAAACAGTGAAAGTGAGACACAGAAAGAAGGAAGATAGGAAAGGTAAAAAGCCCCAAGGCAAAATGCAGATAAAGAGAAACAGGTTAATTTAAGACAAAAGAGCTAGCTGGACAGGAGCCTGAGCTAGGCTGAGCATTCAAAACTATTAAGTCGCTATATCATGATTTAGGAACTGGTTGGTGGCCCTAAAAGAAACAACAGCCTGGCACAATACTGTGTCCACAAGATGGCTCAGTGGGTAAAGGTGCTTGCCACCAAACCTGAGAACCTGAGTTCATTCTCTGAACCCACATGATGGAAGGGCTGAATCACTTACCACAAGTTGTTCTCTGATCGCCACAAAAATCCCCATCCCACATCTACATACATCCACATACACACATACACACACACACACACATCATACATGCACACACACAGAGTAAAATCTTTTAAAATTAAGTCGTAGACCTGGGCAAGGTTGGAAGAGGAGGGCAAGAGAGACCAACCACCAGGAAAGACTTCCAGAGGGGGTGGCACCAGCCCAGGCCAGGAAGTTCTGGTTAGGGATTGGGTAAGAGGAAAAAATAAGGGAGCGACAAACACTCCGATGAGGAGGAGGAGGGCGGTGATAAATGAGTAGAGGGAATAAATCGTTTATGATAAATCATATGACACTCAACGTCTCTAGTGGTGGGTGAGAAATGCTCAGACTCAGGGCTGTGGAGATAGCATAGTGGATAAAGCACTTGCCTTGTAAGCAGGAGGGGACCAGTGATTGGGTCCCCAAACCCTTGTGAAAGTCAGCCAGGTGTCTTGGCTGTCTATAATCCCAGAACTCAGGAGGCAAACACAGCCGATTCCCAACAGCAAGCTGACTTGCTAGACTAGCCAGAATCGCCAAACTTCAGGTTCGGTGAGAGGCCCCACCTCAAAAACACAAGTGGAAAGTGTTGGAGGAAGACGCTTGATGTCAACTTAAGGCCTCTATAAAAGTAGGAATGTGTCCATGTGCCCTTACATGCATGTGCATACACAGGAACACACATGCACATATACATGTACATCACACACAGTAACACCAGGTGGTGATGGCGCATGCCTTTAATCCCAGCACTCTGGAGGCAGAGGCAGGCGGATCTCTGTGAGTTCAAGACCAGCCTGGTCTACAGAACAAAAAGGGTATGATACTGAAGAGATGGCTCAGTGGTTAAAAAAAGCACTTGTTCTTGCAGACGACCCAGGTTCAGTTCCCAGCACCCACACAGCAGCTCACAACTGGCCCTAACTCCAGTCCCAGGGCATCTGCTACCCTCTTCTGACCTCCTAGGCACCAGGCACTTGGGGCCTGGGGATCTGATGTACCTGTGGGTGTTGAAGAGCAACTTTGCAAAGCTGGTCCTCTTTTTCCACTTTAACATGAGTTTCTGAGTTTGAACTCAGGTTGCCATGCCTGTTCAGCTCGCTCCTTTACTCTGAGTCACCTCGCTGGTCCTATTTTCTCTTTTTCTTATAAAGGGCTCCTTTGTATTTCTTTTTTCTTTCTTTTTTTTTTTTTCGAGACAGGGTTTCTCTGTGGCTTTGGAGCCTGTCCTGGAACTAGCTCTTGTAGACTAGGCTGGTCTCGAACTCCCAGAGATCCGCCTGCCTCTGCCTCCCGAGTGCTGGGATTAAAGGCATGAGCCACCATTGCCCAGCTTTCCTTTGTATTTCTTCACAGGGATTTGCAACGTATATTTAGCTAGATTTTTGATGGATAGATACACATCACTTTTCACTGTTATGAACAGCACCACAGAAAACCCCGGCATGCACAAACTGTGTAAACATCCTAGGATACGCTCCTCAAAGCAGAGCCACCAGGTCAGAGTCTCACGCGTGGCAGATAATAAGACTGCCAGTTCTCCTCAGGATTACAGCCATTTATGACACCATGAATAATGTACAAAAATATCCATTTTAATGCACCAAAGCACCCATTTCTCAGAAGCCCCATCAACACTGGATGTTAATCAGTCATCGGCCCATGTATACTATTTTCATGCAGAAAAGAATAATAGCCAGCAAACAACAGAAGGCATCTATCGGTAAGAGCCAGCTGGGCACAGTGGCTCACATGTTATTAGTATTAAAAATAACAAATATTCTAAAGGAAAGGCAAGAAGGAAGGATGTGGACTGATGAAACCAGAAGCTGGTGCCTGGGGAGCTTGGCTTTTCAGAATTCAGGAGAGACTTCCACATCTAAATACTGAAGGGACAGGGGTTTGGAGCGCCAAGGTCCTTGAGCAGGTGGAGCTACTGGATGCAGGGCTCAGGTGGAGGGATTAACTGCCGGAAGGAGCAAAGGATGAGAGCAGTTAAAAATAAGCCAGTAGGGTGGTAGTGGGGGCCAGGAAGTTGAGGGGGCTTCGGGATGATGGCTCCAATTTTCACTGTCAAGTAGGGGTGAAGTTCTCCGTGAGGAGAATGAGAAAGGAGGGAGACAAAGGTAGGAAACCGAAGAGAGCTGACAAGGACAGCTCAGGACTCCCAGGCCAGGGGGGTGGAGGAGGATGGCAAGGTTGGAGACCGAGTTGCCATGGCAACTGTCTGCAGCTTGAGCTCGCACTGTCTTCGCCTGTACTCCGCTGCAGGGGTGAGAGAGCAGACGGGTAGGGAGAGCTACGTCCCCGGTTTCATCAAGAGTTGAAGATGAAGGGAAGACAGGAGAATTAGATTGGCTCATCCAGACTCCAGGGAGAAGGATGTAAACCCACAAGGTCACAGCCAGTGTAGGAGAGTGAAAGCAACCCTAGGAAGACAAAGAGACCAAAACAAAGGAAATAGAAGTGCAGGAGATGCAGTCATATGGAGCGGTATTTTTGTTTGTGATCTCACAAAGCTTGCCTGAAGATCAGAGTGCAGAGCTAAGCCACGAGTTAGCCATAGAGGCCAGGCAGTGGTGGCACACATCTTTAGTCCCAGCACTTGGGAGATTGAGACAGGCGGCTCTCTGTGAGTTCAAGGCCACCCTGGGCTACACGAGATTGAATGTGTCTAACAGAGAAGCAGAGCCAGGTGGTGGAGGCTCACGCAAAGATGATCCCAGCACTTGGGATCACATGTCTTTAATCCCAACACTAGGGAGGAGGAGACAGGAGTGGCATGG